AAGCCGGATCTTAGAGACATTAAATTGGATTAGATGGATTGGATTGATCTGGCTCAGGATAGGGACCGCTGGAGGCCTCTTGTTAACACGGTAAAGAACCGTCGGGTTCCATAAAATGCTGGGAAATTCTTGAGTAGCTGCAGAATTGGCGGCTCCTCAAGAAGGGCTCAGCTCCATGAGTAAGTTAATAAGTTGGGAGTGACATAGCTCAAGCGGTTAGTCGCTGGCTTCCCACCGAGGCGGCCCGGTTTCGATTAATAAGTTATGGGAAGCTGGACAGAATTCTTCTTATACATCAAGCCTAGACCACAAACAAGCAAGGATAATAATAATTTGATATGAAAAATTATACATATCTGCAATTTTCAATGCCAGAAATTATTTTACTTTTTCTCCACAAATTATTTTTATGTTTGGCTTGATGTTGGGAAGTTAAATCTTTAATATGACGACCAATTTAGTCTGCCTATGTATTTTCTTAACAATTATAAATCACTCCGCCCAATGTGACCTGTAAGTTTTTTACTACATAATATTTTTAACATTTTTATCTATTTTAAAGGACATTTTCATTCGAAACCCTAGGGTTCCGCGGACCTCCATTTAGGAAACGTTGTACTGAAGTCTTATTTACTGCACACTTTTATTCATATTAAAATAGATAAAATAAAATATGTCTCATTAGGGCCTATATACCTTATTTGTTTAATTATGATGCAACTCACAGGCCAAAATTCATGCAACATACAGAGTATCCATTAAGTCTCTTTACAGTTTCAAAAATTTATTACAAAGGCAAATGAAAAGACAGATAAGTGGAAATTATTACAACATGAGACATATATATTTAAGTTTTTTTGCCTCATTTAATACACCTCTATATGGGCACCATTAGTTGCACGAAGCACATCAAGACGGTACTCGATTTCTTGCCATGTTCGCTGTAGCACACCCTCATCAGTAGTGGCAATGGCATCAGTGGTCCTCTGATGTAAATTAGTGATGTCCCATGCCTTTGTTCGATACACGATATCTTTAACATAACCCCATAGAAATAAGTCGAGGTGTGTGATATCTGGTGAACAAGGTGGCCAGGGAATTGGGCCACCCCTTCCAATCCACCGGTCTGGAAATATTTCATGTAGGAACCCACGAACGTGCAGTCCCCAATGTGGTGGTGCACCATCTTGCTGGAAAATGATGGTTGGTTGAAGGTCATGTAGTTGTGGTGCCACGTATTCAGGTAAAATATCAAGGTAACATTTGCAATAATTGATGGCTCGTCGAAGAAAAACGGACCAATGATTCGATTGCACTAGATCCCACACCACACATTCACCTTTGGACCATCTCGCTGAAGTTCTCTAGTCACATGGGGGTTTTCTGATCCCCACATTCTCACATTGTGTGTGTTCTGTTTCCCTGAAACATGAAAGGTTGCCTCATCACTAAAAAAAACGAGTCGTCAATTATTGCAAATGTTACCATGATCTTTTACCTGAATACGTGGCACCACAACTACATGACCTTCAACCAACCATCATTTTCCAGCAAGATGGTGCACCACCACATTGGGGACTGCACGTTCGTGGGTTCCTACATGAAACATTTCCAGACCGGTGGATTGGAAGGGGTGGCCCAATTCCCTGGCCACCTTGTTCACCAGATATCACACACCTCGACTTATTTCTATGGGGTTATGTTAAAGATATCGTGTATCGAACAAAGGCATGGGACATCATTAATTTACATCAGAGGACCACTGATGCCATTGCCACTACTGATGAGGGTGTGCTACAGCGAACATGGCAAGAAATCGAGTACCGTCTTGATGTGCTTCGTGCAACTAATGGTGCCCATATAGAAGTGTATTAAATGAGGCCAAAAAACTTAAATATATATGTCTCATGTTGTAATAATTTCCACTTATCTGTCTTTTCATTTGCCTTTGTAATAAATTTTTGAAACTGTAAAGAGACTTAATGGANAGATTTATGGACATTCTTTATATATGCATTGCACTATGACTGAGACGTTCAAGGTCGTCTTCCTTCCTCCCAGTACTGTACATACGTTTTGTCGAAGGTTTGGCTTAATTCATTCATCCGAGCAGACGCTTTCCCGGTAAATACTTGCCTGATGTTTTCATATTATAATCTTTCGATTTCAACAAACTGCGTGGTTTTAGTCCGCAAGCGAACTATACCGACCGAGCGACCGCCGCTTGTCGGCGCAGTTAGTGCCAACTTTAATGGATAGAGAATGTCACGTGGTCAACGAAACGAATCCCCACAGCCGTTAATTTCGCTTTTCTAGACCGGAGCCGCTATTTCCTTGAAATAGCTCCTCAATTATCCTCACGAGGCTGAGTGGACCCAGTTCCAGACCCACTACTTCTCAGAAAATCTGGTAGCGCCGGGAATCGAACCCGGACCTCTGGATCTATAGTCAGGAACTCTGACCACTGAACCACAGAGGCGGTCAGTCTTTACATTATTTGCCGGTCCGTAGAACACAGGACGCAAGAAGTTTTCCGATGAACGAAAGTTTCAAATTAGGCAGGTTAACTGTAATTTTATAAAATGAGGCTCTGCTATGAACTAATTAGCGTTCACTACTTCGCATTTTCGCTCGACTCTTTTATGTTATAAGACTCTGCCAAGTTGGTAAGAAAATCACACAAAAGGCCAACCACAATTATTACACGGATTGTAAATAGAGCTTGTAATCCGTAGCACATTGCATTGCTAGACTTTACAAGTAGGCCCATCACTGTAGATACAGTTTCAGTCATTTGTCTAAAAGAAAACTGGTGAGGCGGTGGTTGGGGGGGGACGATGTTATGAAATTCACTCCAATTTGAAATAACCTCCATTTCATGTCTTACAACACTTTTCCACAAATGAAGTTCTGGAAATAATCATGCAGCTGTAACTAGTAACTAGTAAGCCTGTCACAACATTACAAGCTTCGCGGAAGAGATGTCGGCTGCTGCGCATTATTCATGGCCTGGAATCGATTCATACACCGTATACCGCATATATTGTTGAAGCACACAGAAAAAGCAGAAAAAATAACGTAAAAAAAATGTGGCCCGTGGGGGGATCGAACCCACGACCTTCGCGTTATTAGCACGACGCTCTAACCAACTGAGCTAACGGGCCAACGATGCGTTGTATGAACGGAAAACGCTTATGAGTAGATGTTCTTCTCTATAGTTGTGTGTATGTTTTCTTTTGTATGAAGTGTGTGTATAATGTTCGTAAGTATTCATAATTCTATCTTAAAGTACAACAAAATATATATATAGGTTTGCGTTATTATATTATGTTTATTTCCGTAAAATTGTGTCACTATATTACTGTCATAGACACACAGACGCCATACTTTATTTTTAGTAGATGACGACCATCACAATTCGAAACGCTTAACTTCGGAATTCACTTTATAATGAGAAATATGTACGTAAATCTACGTGAAACGCAATTACAAAATATGTATACTGGAACTTGGGTACAACTTTCCACTCTCTTATTTACTAAAGTTTTACTCCCACGCACATTTTATTGTTTATTCAATTATATCTACCAGTATGAATACTAATTTTATACGATCGCTTTGCTTTGATTATCGTGCATACTATGACATTTTGGATATTTTGCCAACAGGAACGCTCCTTTCCCTATCCAGCTATTAATTAAGAATTTCCTGCCTATCTCTGCATATTATGAAGCTTACAGGTTTACATCATGACTTCTCAGGAAACAGCTCCTTTTGTGGTGACTCTCAGAATTATTTGTTGCCTCTGACCTTGAGGATATATACGTTTTGCTTCTTTTTGTGGTTGGTTTGTACTTTAATCCAGTTTGAGTTATATTCATGTTATGTTGCAGACATTCCCTGTACTTCCTGTTAAGTTATGTAAGATATGGACCAATGCTCAGTATTACGTAATACGTAGCAACAACGTGATTGGCGGATGATTTGAAAGATAAATCGGACTCCGCAAATCAGCCGATCGTCACTTTCTTTGATGATGATAAATCACATTCCTACTGTTCCGAATCCTCCGCCAGGGTCTTTAGCCATGCCATCTCGAGCGATCTCGAGGATCCCGAGGCAGAAGTAGGCGCGAAGGCGTAGTGGAGCGGACTGCCATCTTGTGGCTGAACCATGGAACTTATTTCCTGTTTATTTATTAGATCAGCTGCATTCTAAGGCAGCTGTGTATGTCAGTTTGATACAGGTGGTAGTAGCGCTGCCAAGCATTGGAATGCCTGTCTTTTTGTTATTGATACTCACCTGCAACATTCGTTCATCATGGCATATTTAGATATTGAGAGTGAGAAGTAAGTATTAGCACTTATTTTTGTCATATTTTTTAATGTTTTAATCGATGTTGATCATTAAGATACAATGCTTTCTTGATCACATCTTGACGGCTTTGGGTAACTCAGTTTTAAAATACTAGAACTGAATAAAGTAGATTTTGTAGTAAGTGTTCTTTACTAGTTCGGTACTGCATAAAAGAAATGGTTTTAGTTTGTTACTTAACGAGTTGTTTAGTTGAATAAGTCAATGCTAACAAAAATCGAAATGAACATTACAACAATTGACAAACGTTATTTATTTTCTCTGTACTGACGAGAGCTAACTTTTAAATAGTCGTTACGGTCTAAACTGAATACTGATTTGTAGTATTTCTTTGGGACTGAGTCCCTGCATAGAATTTCATATATTAATTTACCGATACCGACGGGGAGAGATGAAAGTAAGATGCAGTTTACCCCAGCTTTACTTACAATGTGATACATGTTTCCTCTACATACGGTGATTTTTTACTTTTTGTTTAAATTATGTCAAGACATGCCGAAAGACTTAATGACTAATATACGTGTATTAGGTGATAATGGAAGTTACATTTTTTGAAAGGACGTGGTAACTATGCATCATATCGCTAAGAAACGTACCACTCTGTTCGGACGCCTTAGCAGGGCTAAAGAAACGTGGAATGACGCAGAATGCTGGAAAAAAACCAACGAGCCCTGATAAGGGCATCTGTGACATAATAGCGATAGATGTGTTATGAAATATTAACCGTAAGCTTCTTACAATATAGTAATCAGTACTGTGCCACCTACATTAACTTTTAAAATACTTCGCATTTTAAAGACTTCCCCTTTTATGATATGATACCGTATAGTCTGGTACATCGTTACCGGCGTTGCGAAGAAATCTGCTGCCTCCACCTTTAGGATGAAAGACTGAAAATGGAGGCAGCGTTTTCCTCCGAAACACAGGCAGTGATCTAGCAAACAACAGAGGCTCTAACCTTGATAATCAACATCGTAAGGACAAAAGATCTCATGCGGTATTTTGGTTATGGACGGTATTTATGGGGTTCGTATGATTGCTGGAGTAAACGGTAATAATCTTTATAAATTGTGCTAACTCGGATTGCTTCCTAAATGGAGACTCAGTGTGATTTTGTGAGGTGGGAAATAATTTTTTACACATTTTGGGATGAATTTAAAAGTCATGTATGTTTGATTTTTGTCCTAAGTTAATTACTTTTATACTGCTGTTGCGTTTTCCTTACGTTTTATCTATCTATCTATGGCTCTACATCCCTTTGTTGGACCTTGGCTGCTTTTTCAGTTTCTTAATCCTATATATCGCCGGTAGAACTCCTTGGAAGGGCGATCAGCTCGTCGCAAGGCCTCTACCTACACATAGAACAACACAAACAGAAATAAAAGCACACAGACATCCATGACTTGAGTGGGATTCGAACCCACGATCCCAGCGTTCAAGCGAGCAAAGACAGTTCAAGTCTTAAGACCGCGCGGCCAATCTGATCTGCACCGCATGCTTTAAGTTACCAAAACGATGCGCTTCGTGGTTGGACCATTGTTGTTGTGTGCTGCTATTAAGAAAACGTATTCGTTATCTCTAAGTCTTGTCGGTATCTCGCAAAACACAAGGCTTCACTCGTGAAGGTTTGCGCGTTGTAAGAAACCGTACAAGCAATGACACTGATGTTGTTACGACGAAATATGCAGAAAGTGGCAGAGATACTTTCATTTCGGATTTATTATTCTTAAAAACCTATACAGCTAGAAGTATCCGTGGATCCTCAAAGCGACTGAATAACCAAACAAAAGGGGAAGCACATAGATTACCACCAAGGGTGTTCGAAAGGCCGCGCCATAGCTCAAGCGGTTAGTCCCTGGCTTCCCACCGCAGCGGCCCGGGTTCGATCCCGGGTCTGGTCAAGTGGGATTTGTGGTGGACAAAGTGGCGCTGGGGCAGGTTTTCTCCGAGTACTTCGGTTTTTCCTGCCAATCTTCATTCCACCAACTGCTCCACAATCACCCTCACCTATCATCTGGGGCTGGTACAATAGGCCAGAAGAGCTGCAGTACAAGGGATTTAGTCCCACCGCACTAGCAATAACAAAAATATTATTAAGGTGACCAACTCAAGGATGATGAGAGTGGCATGGCCTGTAGCCCGTATGGGGGAGATGAGGACTATCTACTAGATTTTTTCAAAGAACTGAACATAATAGATTATTTTTCAGATCTCGCTGTGAGAGGATAATATTAAAGTGGGTCTTAGGAAATGTAAATGCAATTAATTATAGTGTTATCGCTGATATCCGCACTTTACAGTTCAACGTTATACACATACTAATGTTCTCAGTCTTCACTAGTCATATCCTGGAAACGGATTTATAACAGTCTCACTGTCACTGCACCACACTTGCAGACATCTTTGCACAGCCTAATTCCTTTCTTGCCATCTTCAGAGACTCTCAGTGCTTCTGACAACAACTAACTTCTTGCAGAGTCAAAGTTACTTTACGACTGACAGTTTACCGCGAATAAGTTCGTCTTCGCGTCAATCCCTTTGAGACTCACGACTAGTAATTTTTCTTTTTCCAACTGAACACTCTGACGAGAGGATTAGTCTGTCGTTTACAACTGCTGTTGGCTCTCACCAGCGCAGTCATCGCCTGGCTGCTAAATTACTGCTGGTACTCGCCAGCACAGTGAATCTTGGTTCCTGTCGGTCCGGCCTTCAGCCATCATGTCGCAGTATATTAACGTTGGCCTATTAAGTAATAAATAAATATCTCTATTGTTTTACCTGTTGTTTTTTATGCTTGGGCTCTCAGTCGGATAGAAAAACCCAAATTGAGAGTATGGGGAGGAAAAAATGCGGACCTCAAAGAAAATAAAGGATCCTTTTACTAGAACGCCTGTGGCGCTTTGCTTTTTATAGTTCTGCTGGTAGAACCATTCATTTCTCGCGTAGTTGTGAGGAAATATACTCCATCCACTACAGGAAGGAGGGTACATCATCGTCAGTAGACCGTTACGTCATTATTAGACAATTCCTGGATTATTTTCCTAACAATCCCCAATTACGTCATTGGACTTTTTCAATTGACTTAATTTTTCCAGCCGCACAATGGCCCTGGGGTCGACTCAGCCTCTAACAGAAATGAGTACCAGGAATCTTTTTGGGGATAAAGAGCTATCAAAACCCGTTCGGTTCCAAACAAATTTTTGTTAAAATGCCTTGTGTTTGAACGCATGAACCATGTGATCACCCGGACACACGAACTAGCACTGTGCTTCTTTACATAATGAAATGCGCGCAAAGCGGTCGCCCTTGACAATTTTTGTAACGTACGCGTGTGAATGTTTAACACATTGTATGAGCAAGAAAAACATACAGGTGTACTGGAAATATAGGATTTTTAAAAAGTACTGGAAATGTAAGTTATAACGCAGTGCTATCTATATATTGCATTTACATACATATTGGAGCCCTTTCATAATTTGTATTTGTACGAGGGTAAGTCAATAAGTAAGTTACGAATGGATATAGAACTTAAACAAATAAGAGTACTGACTCGAAAAATGCTTTTATTTCTCAACATAATCTCCCTGTACATTGAGGCACTTGTCCCATCGTTTCTCAGGCCCCTGAAAACCAGCAGCATAAAATTCTTTGGGCTGCTGTCGGAACAAGGCAGTGAGTTCTCTTTCTACAGCTTCATCGTCGGGACAATGTTCAGCCGAAAGATGATGTTTAAGAGGACCGAACAAATGGAAGTCGCTTGGAGCAAGACTCATCACCTGTGACAATTCGGGCTAGCATATCGTGTCCTTCATCATGGTAGCCTTTGAGATGCTGTAATGCCAGACCCATTCTTTGCATTTTGTGTTGTGGGGTCAGTATGCGCGGCACCCATCGTGCACAGACTTTGTGAAAACCTAACCTGTTATGCATTGTGAGGTAGGTCATGCCGTGTGAACACGCCTGGTTCCGACAGCAGCTCAAATAATTTTATGCTCCTAGTTTTCAGGGGCTTGTGAAAAGATGAGACAAGTGCCTCAATGTACAGGGAGATTATGTTCAGAAATAAAAGCATTTTTCAAATTAGTACTCTTATTTATTTAAGTTCTATATCCATTTTTGACTTACTTATTGACTTACCTACGTATTAACCTAGTGCTTCAGTGGCCGCGTGGTCTTACTCATGAACTGTCTTTACTCGCTCGGACGCTGGGATCGTGGGTTCGAATCCGACTTAAGGCATGGATGTTTGGTGTACTTATGCGTTTATGTTGTGTTTGAATTGTCCTGTGTTTAAGTAGAGGCCTTGCGTCGGGCTTATCACGCGTCCAAAGAGTCCTCCCGTCTGTAAAAAACGATTACGGAACTGAATAAGAGACCAGGGCCCTGAATGGGCTGGAAGAGCCACTGAAAAAAATAAAAAAAAACCTAGTGAGTAAGTTATGTCGTTTCCATGCTGTGGCGAGGTCAAGAATGGTGGAGCTATACATCCTGTCCCCCATACGTCTTCATGGTGCCTAATTAAATTAAATCAGTCCCGCAGCCATTACCGGAATTTAAAGGGTTAATGGTTAATTAAGCACAGGGACTTTTCCTTTGCCTTCGCTAGGTAATTTTGTTGACTTTCAGTTTGGGCGAAACGCTAGATTTATATCGGAGGAACAGATGTACCTAGAGTTCTGTCTTCTGGTATATACCGCCATGTGGTCCGCCGAAAGTCAACCGACGCTTCGGAGGAACACGTCACCTCCATCATCAGGGTCGAAAAATAAGTCAAGCAAGAAACCAGCGTGAAGCAGGTAGCAAGAAGAGCTCTGCTTACTTCGTTATATCCCACAAGATAGAACTCTTCATAACCAACGCTGTGAGAACCTCAGATCCTATATAGCTCTATCCCAGAAGATGGAACTCTTCATAACCACCGCTGTGAGAACCTCAGATCCTATATAGCTCTATCCCAGAAGATGGAACTCTTCAT